GTAAGGCTGATAGCCTCACCACCATCTGTGAGCCGATTGTATAAAGAAAATGTGGGAGCCTCGACGTCTAATAATCCTATTGGCCTTGAGGGCCTGTCACAAAGGTAGCTTTACCTTTTTACAAACAGTATTTTTAGAATATAATGTAACAATATAGTGGTCACGAGAAACATATTTGGCTTTCCGCTTGATGGCAATAATTAAAAAACTACTATGACTAGGAATGCCGAATTTAATGTGGGGAGTTGTTATAAACAAACCTATAAATACTATATGGAACCTTTTCATATTTTAACAAATTGAAACATGACCGTGCAAATTTTGTGGTTATCTGGAAAAATTGAACGTACCGCATTGGGATTCTATGGGCGTACTAGGGGAAATGGTGCACAGAAATGGGTTAAATAATATAATTATTACTTTGCAGTCCTTGCTGTCCTTATTGTACGGCTTGAAGGAAATTAAGCAAGTCCTTGTTTGAACGGCAGTTTTATTGTTGTGTTATAGCTGTGTAAGTAGTTTACCCAGTGTCTCTATAACAGAAGGAATACGTCAAAAATATACTGGTTCGCAAATGACCCTGTTTCACTTGAAACAGTGTTACATATCAGCGGAACAAAGTTTAGAGCCATTATTGCACGCGAATACATCATAGCTGTTCGTGCAATTCTCTATAGAAGTCCTGTGGCTTGGAGTGATACTGGCCAGAAAGGAATTTGCAGCGGTTACAGTATTCCGTGGAACTGCACCACTTCTGAAACAATAGGCACGATATACCAGCTCAGAAATGCAGAATTTCAACATCTGACATTTTTGTTTTGTCTTGTAACACTGCTCGAAATTCTTTTGGATGCCAGGTTTCTGCGTCCATCCATAGGTGATGGAATAAAATATAATTTTGTGCGAATATTAAAAAATAAATAAAGCTATCCCAGTAATNGTGTTACATATCAGCGGAACAAAGTTTAGAGCCATTATTGCACGCGAATACATCATAGCTGTTCGTGCAATTCTCTATAGAAGTCCTGTGGCTTGGAGTGATACTGGCCAGAAAGGAATTTGCAGCGGTTACAGTATTCCGTGGAACTGCACCACTTCTGAAACAATAGGCACGATATACCAGCTCAGAAATGCAGAATTTCAACATCTGACATTTTTGTTTTGTCTTGTAACACTGCTCGAAATTCTTTTGGATGCCAGGTTTCTGCGTCCATCCATAGGTGATGGAATAAAATATAATTTTGTGCGAATATTAAAAAATAAATAAAGCTATCCCAGTAATAGGCCGTAGAGGTCCATAGGGTTGTGAAATGTTGAGGTTCCCACATTTTCCAGAGAATCGGCTCACAGATGGCGGTAAGGTTGTCAGCCCACCAGGAAGATTCTTGGTACTCATTTATGTTAGAGGCTGAGTTGACCCTAGAGCCATAGTGCGGCTGGTAAGATTACGTGAATTGCAAAAGAAATCCACATCATCGGGACTCAATCCCGCGATCTTCCGGCTTGTAGCGTAGTGCCTGAACCAACTACGCTACCGTGTGCCCCTTTCATTATAATAACAATTTTCTTTGACGAATGCTGAAAATGTATTTTCATGTATATGATACATATAGAAGGTACATAAGGTGAATTTACTGATATTAAGCGATGGATTTTCGTAGAATGTGAAGTGTTGAAAGAAAACCCACTTAGTTACTTGTTCACATGTCACCTGAAATTTCTTCTAAATTGTTTATAACAAGCATAAATGCCTCCTCTTCCTTATGGGTATGATTACTTTCATCATCAATATCATTATATGTATGGTGAATAAAACTTTAGGTTTGAAATCACAATCACGAAAGTTAATGTTCATTTTTATTCATTCATTGTATTAAGTTATGTAGTTCTGACATCTCTGCTACTTCATTTAGTACCAACTGACGCTGAACAGTTGCATGTGAATTCAATGGCTGTTTATTATTTTCTTGCCTATCACAGTGGCGGCGCTGTCTAAGACATGAACTGTTTTTCCTTTCTAACACCTTTTCACGTATTTCTTTCAGTCACTTTTTAAATCCTTTTGAATTCCAGTCGCTCGGAAGGCTAACAAATTTATGACTCTTACTTTAAAGATTTGGGGCTTTTACGTCTTAAGTAGCTCTCTTCGAATTATTTCCGACTGAAAATCTGAATTCAGTATTTGTCCAACTGATTACATGTTTTTGTGCATATAAATTGTGAGTCGCGTCACATTTATGTGTTGAGGAATAACAGATATGTCCATATCTTATCTGAATATTTTCGAGGACTAACGAACGAAAACGCTTGGCGGACATAGTAACACATGGTGCATAAAGCGATGTACTGTTTCATTCGGAATTCACTTATTGCTTAAAATGAGGTGTCTTATGCTTGTCTTTGTAATTTTTGAACTTACTCACTCCTGGAGCTGAGCCCTTCTTGAGCAGCTGCCAATTGTGCAGTTACTCAAAAGCTTTCCAGAATTTTATGAAACCTGAAGGTTCATTACCGTGTTCACAAGAGCCCTCCACTGGTCCCTATCCTGAGCCAGATCAACCCAATCAATACCACCCCATCCTCTCTCTCTGAGATCCATGTTAATATTATCCACCGCCTACGCATTGGTCTTCCCAGTGGTCTCCTTCCTTCCGGCTTTCCCACCAATATCCTACATGCATTTTTACTCTCCCTCTTTCGTGCTGCATGCCCTGCCCATCTCATCCTTGACTTCATCTTTTTAATTATACTTGGAGAAGAGTACAAGTTATGAAGCTCCTCATTATGCAGTTTTCTCCAACCTCCTGTCACTTCATCTCTCTTCGATTGTAGTTTTCGAAATCAGACAAAAATGTGAAATTGTAACTATAGACATCCTGTCATAATTTGTCAGTCATTATAGAATAAATACATAAGCTGACCTCATGGAACAGAGTTCTTCTATACAAGCTGTTAATCTTTCAGGTAGTCGAGAAAATACTTATTTTCTATTACAGCTCAACATTCATTACCTTGTTGACAGCAGGACGTTATAGGGCTGTATCCTGAGCCCATTGAGTCCAGTTCACACAATTATATCCTTTCTAATATTATACTCGTTTCTATAATTGGATCTCCAGATAAGTCTCTTGTTTTGAATTTCTCCGGCTAAACTTACTATGCTTATCTCGTCTCTTCCACTTCGTGCTCGTCGATTCTGTCGTAATAATATTTGGACAGGCTTACAAATATTTGTGATCGTCAAAAATTTGGTAACAGTTGTCTCTTATTAATTATGAAATTATTAATTTAGACATTTTCCATTGTTTTGTTTAAACTTTAAATTGCACTGATTCTTCGGACAATGTCCAACTGTTAAGTTTATAATTAATAACAGATAATTTTGCTCCAAATTACGTGACTTTCTCCGTCATCCTGATATTTCTCCACTCTCCGATGTTCATAATAGGCGAGTAATTTCTTGGCCAGCTGAGCGTTTATAAGCTTCTAAAGAAGAACTTAGTTCTAAGCAGGAGAACTGATGTGTGTGTCTGTGCTTTCTTGCAGACTCTCGATGCCATTCGAGGCTGTGGGCGTTCTGTTGATGTTGGTGGCCACAATGTTCGCCCTCATTGGACACTTCAACAGTGACCACAAGACTCTGGTCGCTTGCGGCCTCTACATTCTAGGAGGTAAGCAGTGTTCAGGCCAGTACAGTGTAACTTACGTCATACATTACGTGGTTGTTATTGTGGCAAATATAATAATTAAAATGTCTGTGCTTTTTATATTCGAGCATGTGCTGATATATTTACAGGGATATAATTTTAAAGATTTGATATAGGATTTGAGGAAACGTGTATAGTGAGCAACTGTTTAAATCTTATGCTACTTAGCTATTGTGCTTGTCTAGAATAACATTTGTTTCTGCGTTGTCCTCAATAGGAGGTTAAGTTAGTGGTTTTGATGGCATTAGCGTCTCTAATTAATTCTGCCCTCAGATAAAGTAGAAAGAATATATGTATATTGTAACCAAATTTCAGTTGTGTCCTTTTCGTATGCCCTGGATGATCTCAGCGCCAGATTTTTTAAATCACTTTGAATGTAGTAAAATATACAAATAAGACGTTCTCTTTGTCGGGAGGATGTGTCTGTCATTTACAGTTGCTGCTGGTCCTCGCCAGCCCAGTCAGTCTAAGGTCCGTGTCCCGCGGTACTCATGACAACATTTTACTGCCGCAGATTCGAGTCTCCCCCAACCTGGAGGGCCAGGTCCACATATTTATATCCCCCAGGAATAGGGGACACAGTTATACCCCCAGGCACTAGGTTTTGCTCTCCACTCTAACTCAAACGAACTATTTTGTCCTTTGTATAACCCTTCGGCACGGACCACGCAGAGAACACAGATTCTCTCTTTTTAGGATTGTGTGTTTAGACCGCAGTTGTATAGAAACGAAAGTTAATCGACTGTTGCTTGCGTATTCATTGCCACGGGGAATATACATATTTACCGAGGAGTTGCCTAGCAATGAACGTCTCCTTTGATTTCACTATTCCGGCATTCGGGGATCATGTCACAATATGTTTTGTGTCCCATCTTGATTCCGTTTTAAACTTTCAGATGAAAATTACGGTTTACGCTACACGATAAATGCCATAAATACCATAATATAAATTATGTTAGATTTCGTTGTCAAAGTATAGAAAGAAAAGAGAATATTTTTAAACTGACAATTGACAACGGGAGTGAACATGAAGTTATTAATGATAATGGAGTCACAGTAGTAAACTTTGCCAGACCACAATTCTTTCAGCGGTATAACGTTACTAAATCGCAGTATTCATAATACACACGGATTTTCCTACACATATTTTTCACGCCTTCAGAGATAGGAGAAGGCATTCACTACACTTCATGTCCGTTCATTCTAAGAAACTGGCCGTGATACTGTTCACTGTTGTTCTCAGGAGTTAGGGAGAGACTGTCAGTAAGAAAACGAGGAACGTGAAAGTTTGATCCCTAGAAATTCTATTTCAAGGAGCTAAGTGATGTTGAAGGTAAAGCAGTATATGGTATCAAAGTCCAAAATATGCCCAGATCTTTGAAACAACTTACAATGTCGACATAAATGTGACTTGAGAAAGTGTAAGGAATATTCCAAAAATTTAGCCGAGGAAATTGTACATTATTATTCACTGAAGCAGCATGAACAGAGGTTTGACAAAGAATATTCTCAGCGATTACATCAAAGGGAGTAAGCTAAATTGCATTGGTTACAGGATCCAAGCCAAATGAATTGAGATAATCTGAGCACTGTAAGACGTGAAGTTAATAGATATTTCAGGAACAAGAAACTGTCTAAAAGACAGAATTAATTACCTCGAAACAGACAGTAGGAACGAGAATAATTGAGGCTTGTGTAGAAGCATAAGTGAATAAAAAAGTTTCCAACTCAGAACTAACCTGATAAGGATGAGAAGAGAGGTTTGCTTGCAAATTTCCACAATATTCTGAACAGGTGGAAGAATCACTGCTGTCAGCTATTGAATGCACATGGAATTAATGACGTTAGACAGAGGGAACTAAATGCAGCTGGGCCCTTAGTATCAGAGCCTAGTCCTTTTGAGGCTGAGAATGCTATAGAAAATTTGAAAGGTATATATCATTATGAACTGATGAAATTCCAGCAGAACTGATTCAAGCAAGAGGAAAAACATTATGTTCAAATATCCATAGACTGTTCAGTTCTATTTGGACTAAGGAAAAATTTCCTCAACCATGGAAGGAGTCTATTTACCAACTTCATACACAATTTCATTCATCATTACTCTCGCAAGGTTAATGCGAATAAAGATTGCAATATATACAATTCTACTTCTGTTTCTGGTGTAATAAGTGTGTGAAGCATCGGCTCTCATGTTAAGAGAAGAATATACACTCGGATGTTTGAATACAGGTTCTGAGGAAAATGTTTTGACTTAAGATGGAGACAGTAGCGGCGACTGGGGAAAATCACATAATGAGCAGAATCATAATTTCTACTACTCGCCAAATATTAGACTATCAAATCACAAAAAATGGGATGAGCTGCACATGTAACACACATGAAGAACAAGACAGATGCATAGACAATTTTAATAAGAAAATATGAAGGAAATAGTGTACTTGGAAGATCTAATTATAGATAGGAAGATAAGTCACAAATAAATAGGATGGGAGGGTGCAGATAGAATTTATCTGGCCTACGATAGGGACCATTAGCGGTCAGTTATGAAGGCGGTAATGGTTCTTCAAGTTTAATAAAATTATTAGAATTTCTTGAGTTATTGAAAAACCGTTTGCTTCTACAGAAGGGTTCTGCTTCATTGAAATAGTTACTTATTTATAACAGGAATAAAGAAATATTATGTAGACGTATTATTTGTTTCAGTAATATATCGCGACTACAGAAGTTGTATACTTATAAAAACAGTATAACAACACAGCGTGACCTGAACAACTGGACGACACTAAAGTGTCATATTTTTCAAAAAACTGAACCACGGCGTGGCATACATTCATCTTCCTTTAAAGAGAAGAAATATAAAGACACAAACCAAATTGGTTCCAGATTTTAACAAAAAAGATTTTAAACAATAACTCGTCAATTTATACCCCGTCTGTAGTCACGCCCCTATATATATATATATATATTCACACACGTATATACATACATAGATGGCGTACGTAAAACGGCTTTCTCATAACCAGGGGGCCTGAGAAAGTGTAAATCTGTCAAAGTTTCGAGACTAGTTAATTTCGCGATTATAATACTGTCCCATTATACACCGCTTATATTATGAAGTAACAAGAAATTCCGAGAAGAAATAGTTGCTAATTTTATTGACACGACACGGACCGCATAGAAACCGACGCGTCCAATAATTCTTCTATTTTTGTTTGTGTATTCGTTGTCGCGGTAAATTTTTACCGAACCGTTGCCTAGCAGGGATATGGAATAAACAGACAGACAGACAGTCTGATAGGAGGGTTCTCTGAAGTACGCCGTTGAGATTGGTACAGGTACTGTGATATACATACCAAGTTTCATAAATATTTGTTTATATATTCGAAAGTTAATAGGAGGGTATATATACAGGCAGCATTGTGATCTCATAAGCTTACTTTCATTTTTCAAAATAAGGAAAGTAGGATAAAAATGAAGAATTATATAAATGCACATCTTAATTTTTAATGCTTGTATAATAAACGGACAATGATGGTCTTTATATCCTCAATATTTACAAACTTATTCTGAGTCGAATCAAGATAAAAAAACAGCATCCTCAGGTACGAGTTTGCAAGGGGAATACTGAAAATGAGGGCTTGCGGTACCCCTGGGGTGCTTCTCCGATACCCTAAGGGGCACAGTCATCGTGTTATGAGAAATGCTTGCCTGTTGTAGGATTTATATTCCGGAAGTCGTCCTTAAGGCGTCCTTTAGTACTAGTGCATAAGGTAGATAATAGGGGGCAGGTTGTGTCTGCACGCCTCCCATCTTCTGGCTACACGTTTTATCCCCAAAACCACAAAACGGATTTCGAATAAATTTTGTTATTGCAGAAAAACGCTTAAAATTAATGGGCTTCGTTTGCTTTTATCGGTACCGTGTGACGTCATATAGTTGGGCTCGTTTGCTCTAGTCAGACTGTACTATATACCCGGAAAATATTTCATGGTACAAAAAAAAAATACCTGATGGATGAAATGAGATGTAATATTTTCAGCATCGTAGCTGCAATTATTGCTAGTACAAACACAGAGGGATATGAACTGGTAATTGATATTTCGACAGGGAAATATTAATAGACATTAAAAACAAACACAAATTGAAATTAATTTACAGGTCTCGCAGTTGACGGTGTATGACTCTTGAACTTTATTTAATATTTCATGAACACCGCACATTGAGTTAAATTTATATATAAATTTTACATTACTAAATCTGATATTTTCTGTGGTTCGTAATTGGGATCAACATATTTTTGGAAACATTTCAATTCATATTTTTTTATCGTTACCATCGATTCATTTTCCGCTTAAATCTATGTGCGAAGGTGAACAAACTAACACGTACTTCATGACCGAAAACGTCGCTCATTAAAATACAGGATGAATTTGTCTCTAAATCAGGTTTGCATAGAGATATCTTGATATCTGTGTTACATAATTAACAAAGGTCACATCATTGTTTACCTGGGCCTATTTTTTCCACCCCTTGGCACTACAGCCCCAGTGGGCCTAGAGCTACCTCCATGAACTTCTCCGTTCACATCGGTTTTTCTAGATCTTACACATTCGGTAGGACTCCTTCGGTGGGTGATCAGCTCGTCGCAAGGCCTCTACCTGTATACAAACACAGAAAAACGCACACACAAACTAAACATCCATGCCCTGAGTGTGATTCGAACCCACGATCCCGGCTTCCGAGCGAGCGAAGACAGTACATGCCTTAGACCGCTCGGCTACTGTGACCGGCAGTGTATAAGAATAATATATAAGAATTCAGTTCGTACCTCACAGGAAACAGATCCGAACCCACGATCCCGGCTTCCGAGCGAGCGAAGACAGTACATGCCTTAGACCGCTCGGCTACTGTGACCGGCAGTGTATAAGAATAATATATAAGAATTCAGTTCGTACCTCACA